CTCCTACAGCACTGCCATTACCAGTATCACTCCACCCCCTGTTAACAATAGGTGTTAATTAGGTGTCAACGATAGCCATGTCACATGGAAGCAGTGCTTAAAAGCCTGAATTTTGCCTGAAACTCTCAGACTGAAGTCTCTTGGAGGAGAGACGAAACGTTTCATTAGAGAAGAACCCGTCCAGAAGACCTATACAATTTTTTTTCCCTTTTGATCTTCAACATGACTTCACATGTCAGATCTGTCTCCATCTCATGGACGCTGAGCAGAAAACATTTTTTATTATTTTTTGTTATCAAATACATTAATAAATTTTATGAACTGTGGTTGGGTTTTTATTATAATTTTATATTAAATTTACAGGCAAACTGTGATTGTAATATGATATTTGTAGATCATCAAAACTGAGAATCATCAACAGCAACAAATCAGGTGACAGCTTCAGATGTGTTGTTTTCATAGACACAAACTCCATTTCTGTCATACCTTCACCATGAACAGTTTTCTGCAAAGACCTCAAAGTAATGTGTAGCAAGAATTACTCAAAAAGAAATACGATGTTTCCGCCCGGTTTCGAACCGGGGACCTTTCGCGTGTGAGGCGAACGTGATAACCACTACACTACGGAAACTTAATGCCATGTTTTAAAAGACTACCCCAGATCACCACACAGGGACTCATTCACAGTATGCATGACTTTTGACCACTACCCATATTTCATAGCAGAAATCGGTTTTATATTTTCTCTTGTGCCATTGTTTACAATAATGGGGATGCTTTATCGCTGTTTAGCAAAGTCTTTTTCACTGAAGTTTCTTTWACCTGGTGTAAACAGCAACACATCAGAGGTGTATTCTGCATCACCTGCTGGAGCATCAGCATCAGCAGCACGCCCCACAATGGATTCCACCATGAAGGAAATGTGCCACTCATGACCTTTTTTAAAAGACTTTTTCAAGTTAACTGGTTCAAAAAAATGTCATGTTGGGATTTGATAGAAGACGTTGGTGGCAAATTTACAGCATCTGTAGCTGTCACAATCTGTGGTGATGCACAGAAGAAGTGTGAACAGTGTCACTGAGGGGAAACACTAAAACATGCAGTATCTGCAGCATGGTTCACTAAAATAACACCATTGATGTATTAAAATATACATACAGTAGGCACACTTCATGATATTGTAGACCATTAGGGAATACATTAAGCAAGTACTCTTACTTTTAATACTTTAAGTATTTTAAAAGCAAGTACTTACTTTTACTCAAGTAAAAATGTTCATGTGGTACTTTTACTAGAGTACATTTTTGTCTGTTTAGCTGTACTTTTACTTAAATACAGTTAAAATGAGTTTCCTGGAGATAGCCCATTTTGTATATTTGGAATGAGCAAAAGTCATTATGGTTTTATAATTGGTATAATTATAATTGGTATTAGGTTTCTTGAAGGAATCTGCATTATAGTCATAGTAAATCTTTAGTCTTTAGTCTTATAGCTGCATTAATAATCTTATTGTTGCATTGGAAAATCATTAAGTTACAGTCATTCACCTTTAATGTGGGCATCAAAGCTGTCACCTGTAAATATATCACAACATAGTTGAATCAATGCTAAATGAGTTGCTTTGCACACCTTAAAATCTTTGTAACAATTAAGATTACATGTATATTTGTCAACAAAGGATGGGCAACTCAAAGGATCTCCAAGATTATCTAAAAGATCCTTTACAAAGATAATACCCTTATTATACCAATCATTTAAGAATACTTCCTAACAACTGTAACTGCCCTATCATTCCACAGGGTTGATCCGTGAGGTGAAAACTTATGTTGAAATAACGTCTTCCTAAACTGAAGAACTTGTTTGAAAGTTAGATAGTTTAACTAGAATCTTACCCATCTCAAAGTCACACTTCACAAAAAGTTAAATTCCTCCCAGCTTCTTAACAACAGAACCAGGGATATGAAACCACATTGAATCTTGTTGTAGAATAAAGGTTTTTAACCATTTGATTCTGAGTGTCCCAATCATGGCTTTAAAATCCAGTGCATTTATACCACCTTTCTCATATTTCTTAAATAACTGGGACCTTTTGATATAATAAGTCTTGTTTTTCCCATAAAAACTGGAAAATATTAGAATTAATTTTTTTTTATATTTTGTGGTGATATGCATAGAAGGACATGGATCAACAGCCTTGGAAATGTCATCTGCTTTGGTTACGTTTCTTCCAAAAACAGTCAAATCAAATAATTAAAAAAAAATAATAATAATCAATTAAAATCCTCCTACACACCTTCAAAGATATCCACAATCTCCCCCCTCCTTACCTGTCAGACCTCCTGAACATCTCCACACCCTCCCGCGCTCTAAGATCGGCCTCCTCCCTCCAAGCCTCAGCACCATGGGGAGCAGAGCGTTCAGCCGCTCTGCTCCGCAGCTCTGGAACTCATTACCCCATGGATTATGCAATACCACCTCTCTCTCCCTGTTTAAGACCGGCCAGGAGACACATCTTTTCAGATTAGCCTACAACTGTTAACTCCGATCTTCAACATGTCTGTTTTTGTTGTCCTCACTTCGATGTTTCTCCCCCACAACCTTATTGTTCAATTTGTCTACATTATTTTATTTTATTATATGACTGTTCAGTACTCCACATTTCTGTTTCTCCCACACTACCCTTATCATTATACGTATCTACAGTTTTTTTTTCCTTCATTTCATTTTCTTTTTCTATTGTACAGCGTCCTTGGGTGTCCTGAAAGGCGCTTTATAAATAAAATGCATAATTATTATTATTATTAT